CTCCTCCTCCCCTCCCCATAAATGCTGCACCAGAACCAGCGGATGGATCGAGCTGGTTTTCGGCGCCCTACTACTTCTGATGGCTAGGAACACGATACAAGTGGGCGCTTAGCTCTCCCTGCAGCCATTCTTGAGTCCTGACCTTCTCTAGCTTACCCTGCTTGACACAGAGGGGTGCCTATCACACTGTGAGCTCTGGTGTACTACTAATTAGCACCCTCTTGTCCTGTAGAGTATCAGATTGGGCTCAGTACATGTGCCCCTAAGTTTGCTCCCAAACAGATATAGTATCCTTTACTTCCTGCTAATACATAGCCCCTTCTAACTAGATGGCATAGCTGAACAAGGGAGCCTCAAGGGGCCCATGTGGGTAATGTCATATACTATATCTTAGAGTACCCCTCTCATGAACTCATAGAAGATTGTATACCCCTTGTACTACTCACAATGTGCTAGATGTATTTTCAAAAAGTATTAGTACTGTCACAAATGAATAAACTGGAATTTTGGAAAAAGAAGAGAATGGCCTGGCATATGGGAATGGCTGCAGGGAGAGCAAAGCGCCCACTTGTATAGTGTTCCTAGCCACCAGAAGTAGTAGGGCGCCGAAAACCAGCTCGATCCATCCGCTGGTTCTGGTGCAGCATTTATGGGGAGGGGAGGAGGAGCAGGTGGGGGTAGTATGGAAATCGCTCAGGAACCAGGCATCGGGAGGTCAAGCGGACTTTACCATCGTGTTCTCCGTACAGAAGAACCCCCATACCGAGCTCGAGAGGGAGAGGTGGCAGTAGGGAACCGAGCAGGAGCCAGGGGAGGGGGGGAGCAGGTGAGGCCAGAAGGATCGTGGGAGCGTACGGGAACTAGAGCTCGCGCGCTCTAGTAAAATTCAGAATCAAATCCTACGTACCTGAAAGCAGGTACTGGCAAAAGAACAGAGCAATCCGACCACGGGTACGTACCAAACCCGGATGCTGGCCCCAAGCAGGCTGCCAGCTGGAACAGTGCGAAGCCCATAGCGCCACGAATACTTACCGGATCGGTCTAATTCTTTCAGATTCGTAAATCCGCCGTAAAATGCGTCAGTTTGAGCCCCGGATGGGCCCAAACCGACCACGTATAGTACGGGGCACCAGGCCCAGCCAGCAGGTGGTCAGGGGCAGTGGGCGGGCTGGCGGGCTGATGGCGGGGCCCCGGATTGATGGCGGGGCCGCGGCGAGCACCAGGCGCGTGGCAGGGGCCATCAGGCAACCAGCCCGGCAGGTGCCGAGCTCGCGGGCAGCCTGGTTCCCATCAAACAGTGCATATATTATTTTATTGTTGTTTTTCAATTCCTCGGGATGTGCCGAGTACCTGCCAGGCCTGCAATATACCCATATTATTACTGCCTAGCATAATTTCTATTAGCCACCATCCAACTAACCACTCCTACTGACCAGGTGGTTAGTACTCTGTTGCAGAGTGGTTATCTTAACCACGCTTGCCCGGTTATAACCACCAGATGGTTAGTATTTTGACAACTACAGCCCGATCGGGGGGGCAGAACTTGGCACGCATCTCACCGAAGAGCTCGGGGCTTACAGGAATCTAGTCGTCATGAGGTTCTGTGCGACAAGAGCAAGGAGTCACAACCAATAACACATACCTTGAAGTCCGTCGCCCCATAGTCTTCAGGCGAATCAAAAATCAGATCGGGAATACCGTGAGGGAGGACCTTGTACTTGTTGGCGCGTCGAGCGGTCGAGTTCTTCTGATCTACCCAACGATCGAGCTCGTCTTGTAGCCATGGGATGGCCAAACGCCGAAAAAGCATCCTGTTAGATGACTGAGATCCGGACATGTCACACGAGACAATGTGAACGAACTGTTCCAGGTCTTCATTCATATCCAAAAGACCATTGTCAAGACCGTTCTGCAAGACCGCTTCAAAGCCCGGGGCCCATTGGGCACGAAGCTGCGACCATTGGATCTCGGGCTTGATGTTCTGACCATTGTGCATCCAACGATGTTGAAGGAACTCCACGAGCGACATGTCGAGGCGCTGGCGTATGATGGTCTGCATGTTGGCAACAAAGTAATTCTCGGTACCTGGGTCACTCTGTGTCACCATCGGAACAGCTAAAGGTACAGCGCAGAGCGTCAGACGGAACTAGCTCAAACTGAGTAACGGTCGGCCACACCACCAATCTTCTCAGCAGAGTCCAAGTAATAGCTACCCAGAAGACGAGGGTTGCGGTTGTTCCACCAGATCTTTATGAACAGAATCTTGCCAGAGCAGACATCCAATCCGAGGTTGAACCAGAGTCCAAAACGCTTCCACTTGTCGTGTTGATCAAACGCCCAACTGTCGTTCACTCCGGCTGTCCAGTAGCGTTGGCGCTTGCATACACGGCGCTTACGAGCGGCCACGGCTTCCGGTTCAGTGAGCTTCAGGTAAAGCTCGACGAGTTCCCTGCGTTCGCAGCCAGCTAAGCACCGCAGGCACTAGATAGAGGTAGGTACAGACGCACCGAGGCGCTTTGACGTCGAATTCCAGGCGGAGACGCTTGGTCATATCGCGCGCGCCCATAGTCGGATAGCGCACGCGGATCTTTTGCACATGCGGACCGATAGTGTCCAGGGTATGGTTAGATTGCCGCACTCCAAAAATCCCCCACTCCTTCCGGCGGTTCTTGATGGTAGACTTGCTGAGGCAGGCTCTGCGTTGAATACACAATAAATGATACTTAGGTTGGACGCACCTTATCCCGTACTTCTTCGCATCAATCTGCTTCCTGATCTTGTCCGCAATCTGCTCATCGGTGAGCCTTAGCCGGTGGTAGTACTTGATCCTTGAGCGCAGGAAATCTTCCGGAGCTGTAATAAGTTGTCAGCTATGTATCACTCGTCCATGGCTGGCAAAGTGACGCACGACACGGCTTGAACTGATTGGTGCGAGCCATCTGGAGGGAGTACACTGGATACAACCTCCCATGAGTGGTGGAAGCGGGAAACAGATCTGCGCGCAGGGTACGATCGGTCGCGTCTGAAGCGCGTTACGGAACGCGCCGGTCACACCGCGCGCGACTCCCGGGCTCGCCCTCAGACAACTGGCTGTGCGTACTTCATATTTGAGCAGGAGCGCGAAACAGATCCTTATTAAATTATTCTGTATGTTGCCACGACTTTTACTGGGCTTGATAAATGGATAACGAATATCTCAATCAAGTTAGCCTCAGAGCCAAAGGCCTTCTTCGGCGAGCGCGAGGCGCGGATCACATGACCGCGCTCGTTCGAGTTCGTTCGAGTTGCGCGCGAGACTCACCCTCTCGCTCTCTCCTCGCACCCATCCTGTACACTACTGTGCCATGCCTGAAGGCCGCGAACTCCTCTTTCAATACTTGCAGGCTGATGACTGGCTTGAATCGGAGCGGGGCAAGCCTGGCTGGGACCCGACACTGCACAACATCTTCGTCGACATTACCGAAGACGAGCGCGAGACCACAGGCTCTCGGCGGCTCAAAAACGGCTATATAGACAGCATATCTTGCGCTATGGACATTCGCCGAGGCTCCAAATCAAAGCAAAAGCCTGTCTTCCCTTCGCAATATGCCAGTCTCGACGCTTTGCTGGCTAGCCAACCACGTCTCACCGGTCTCGAACATACTGGGCGCAGTATAATCCTTGTGTTCGGAGATCTTCTGTGTCAGGTACGCTTCTTTTGATACTGAACAGTCATGCAGTATGGACTCACTGTGAGCTCCCAGATCCAGCCATTAACCCATACGAATGTCCAGATATACGATATGGAGAACTGGGAGGCGGTGTATCGGACCTCTCACCTGCCTCTCATAGGCGAACACCCGGAATCAAAGGTTCGTATTTCTGCCGCCACACAAACTTCGTTCCACTCATGTAGTAACTTCGCATAGATGCGCACCTTCAAATGTGCGCTCGCTTTCCACATCGGCAAGCACGTCATATCCTTCAATACGCTCGACTTCTTATTCCAGGTATCACGCTTTCCGTCCCTGTCATCCCGTTCTTGTCTTACTTACTGTACGCTTGAGGTTACCTGGGTGTGGGAAAGCGAGCGCAACGATCCGTTGACGGGACTAGCCCATAGCGACTACAATGTCCTTGATCAATGGCCTCAGTTTGTCGCACTATGGGCATCCTTGCTGGAGACGACCGTCGTCAAGAAGACGAAGACAGCTGGGTTGAACGGGCTCTTTCGCAACTGGGCGACGAACCCCAAGAATACGATGTACAATCCAGGGGTCGGGGCCTATAGCGTCGCGGAAGTCATGCATCTAGCCGGTTCAGTCTATTCACCTTAAGTTTTTACTGCTTGCTTATGAACCTACAGGTCTTCCATCCGATATCTCTCTCGGCGATCTTCTGCGAAGTCCATCCCGCCTTTGTCGCTACTTGCTGGCCCTGTACCAGTTTCTTTATACTGCTCTTCATCGTATCTGGTGAGTGATTCCATGGAGTTCAGCACCACTGTGTCTCATCATTTGCTTGTCAGGGTTGAACTTGTCTGCGCATGTATACATAACCATATACTGGCGCCTCGCACGCAACAACGCATGAAGTATCCGGACTATCTCCATGTCTGGGCCAAGGATGTCTTTTATACGACTGAGCGGCATCACGACGCCATCGTTGCCTATAATGCTACCTTCTACAATGGCAAAACAACAGTATGTACAACGAGCACGCATCTTCCTCTCTCTGCGATGTTCACTGCGAGACGCATAGGCCAGCAACTTGGACGTCCTCGATGCGTTTGAGCCCTCGTTTTTGCGAGATGCTATCCGGAACGCTCCCGAATTCGTTCCCATCTTATTCGGTGATCTTGCCGGCCAAATGTACTGCAACGAACTCGAAGATGCGGAAGTGTGGAAAGATAATCCGTTGCTACTAACCTTCAAGCGTATGACTGATGCTGGTCGTGAGCACAATTGGCAATTTGCGCGCTCGGGTATCTGACTTGATCCCGAACCTAGTACTTGTGTCAAAACGGGCCGCCCTCGACTCCATGCGCTTTGCTACGCTCTTCGTAGCGGACTCGGATATGAGGCGGCGGATGTTGCCTACTTACCTGTATGGTATTGTGAAGGACAAGATGTGGACGGTCTTGTAAGTGATGGTTCTGTGGAATTATCGTGTTGTGTACTGAAGTGTTGTGTCGTTCACAGTGTGGCCAAACGCAAGAACAACTTCAAGCTAATCATCGGTTATCAGCGCACGAAACGGCTATTCCGGATCGAGGTACTGGGTACCAAGGACGTCGCCATTGGCCCGCTCGAATACTGTGGTATGGGCATGATCGTCAAGAAGAAAAGTGGTAAAGGATACCAGTGCGTCGCCGTGTTATCAGCTCTCGCTTGTTAGTTGTGCATTGCGATGAACCGTTTGTTTGTTTAGTATTTATCCTTCACGCGGTGCGGTCATCATGAGCGTACCTTACAGTGCGGCTCTCAAGGCGACCACCCAAGCTATCGTTAAGGTCAGGGTGTTCCAGGACTCTATATCCGGAACAGGGCAGTCCGCGCTGAACAAGGTTGAACTCGCCATCCGAGAGCGGGCGCATCGTGCGTTCAGGATGGTGTACCCGAAAGCTTGGGCTGTTGCGGCCATTGCGAAGGTTCGGGTGCCATCCACGAAGCTGATTGCTGGGCCAGTGTCGGTCCCATCTCAGCTGGCAAGGCGTAAACGCACACAGACTGAAATCTTGCTTGCTGGGCATAGTGCTTCGGATATCGAGCAATCGGGCCGCGGCAAGCGTCGCAGGTCCTCTATTCCCAGTGGTGCATACAACATGCTGTTTCACTCTGTTGATGTGTACTTGAAGTAGCAGTCTCGTACGACCTGTACTGCGCCCTAGTAGCGGCCATGTCCATGTGCCACGCGCCTGTGTAGCCTGCGTACGGGAGCCTTTTGTACGGGAGCATGATACAATATGAAATTAAAATCTTTTGTATGCTGCCGTGGTCTTGTAATCGAACATTGGAGTGATATTGTTTACCTCAAGACTTGCAGATTCAAGCCTGTGGCGTGGCGAGAGGGATTGTAGTGCGCTTTTCGGCACTGAAATACGCGTTGCGCGTCAAGACACGGTCAAGACGTGCACTCGCCCTCACAGTTCGGCCCACCTCACATACGGCTAGCAGAATACCGCAGGCCTCCGTGTTTCACCCCAAAACAGCATATGGTACTGGTATTTGTATTGGTTTATACCATACCGCATTTTGTATAACTACACAGGATCTCATAGGCTCTGTACATTCAATGGCACAGATGTTGATGCTTCAAATGCTTTAAACTTCAAAACGGGGTGCCTTGTAGCTCAGGCTTTTGGATTCGCATGCTGTAGCATATGCCTAGTCAGAGAGACCAGCCTGATGATGGTGGAGCTCAGCTAGGACGTACATTAGATGCGGTTATATTCTCTCGATTTTATCCTTGACTTCCCATCCGGCGCCGCGAGCGCGTTTCGGACTGTACCGCTGACGCCCTAGAATGAGATCGCAATCGCTTGCCACTGGTAGGCTGAGTCGACTGGGAGTGATGCGCCGGCTGGGGATCAATTTCCGTGGTGGGACCGATACCAGCGCCTCCGCGAGATGCTGACCCGCGAGATGCTGACGCGGATGCGCCAACAATGGCATCTCTGCTAGTCGTGGTTGTCGACCCTATGCCAGCCGAGCGAGGGGCGCTTTCGGTGCGAGCTGACGAGGGCGCAGTGAGAGGCTCTAACTTGTAGTGCTTGCAGTAGCGGAGACAGACATGCGTGGTCGGGAACTCCTGGAAAAGGGTAGGGACGTTGCCATCACTGAACGGGCAGATGTTGTGCTTCTCGCGGAAGTCACTGGATATTGAATGAGAACGGTATTGTAGATCAAGTTGAAAGGGAAGGGTCTCGTACGGATCAGATATTATCTGCGGATCAGTGAGCAGAGTTGCACCGCCTGGGTTGAATACACCGAATCAGTACTGGCAAGCGGCTTGTGGATAGGTGACTGCATTTACCTTGATAGTCGGCTACAAAGAGAGTGCGGTCACTGCCAAGGTACTGGACGTGTTGTAGACATGACAGGTACTTGGCCATATTGCGATCGCGTGCATTGAGGTTCTCAGAGATAGCGCCAGTTCGGTTGTCCAGGTACTTCCGGAAATGGCCTTGATCGGGAGGAGAGATGTACTCTTCAACCATGAACACAGTGTACGCCTTGAGGGGTGTCGCAAGACGCGCCAAGGCCGCATCAACGAAGCGCACAGCTGCATACTGCCCGATGATGTTCTTAAAGCCGCGCTTATGGAGGTTTGTCAGCTCCTGAACAGAACGGTTGTGCGCGGCGACCGCCCAAACCAAGGTGTTCTGCTCCGAATCCAGCTTCTGCACCTGGCCTGCAGCGTCTAAAAGAATACGCGTGTTGTCGCCCATCGTGAATACGCGCTTCAAGCAGACTGCTGTCTGGTCCGAACGGCGACCCGGGCGTGGGAGGAAAGGAGTTCCCTCAACTATGTGAGCAACCTGCGCAATCTTGAACGACCCAAACATGACATCGGCATTCCTGGGCTTATCGTCGAAGTGGATAGAGCCAGCAGTCACGATGACATCCGCTTGCGGCTTGAAATCCGCGGCACTCAGTTCCTCTAGGTCTCGTTCACGGCGTGTATGTATCGTAATGCGCCGAGCGCTGCCACGCACTGATAATCTGTGAGTGACGAGCACGACTGGGAAGATCTGCAGATAACAGCGTACACCAAGTCCCGGTTTGCACCGCATCAAGCTCTCCCTGCTTCTCCAAGGACTGGTAGAGCATCTCCTTAGTAGTCCAGAGGGGTACCGCATTTGCAGAGCCCACGGTGCCGTCCAGGAACTGCTCGCTGCGCGAAGTATTGCCGCCAAAATCCTGCTTTACAGCGTGAGATGAGACGTCAATGCATAGAGAATGCATTTGAGGGCATACCGAGTACGAGCGGCTACTAGGTTGACTAGGCTGCTGGGCTGTGTCAGGTGTACGGTGCAAACTAGGTGCGGGGGTGTCTGGTGTCGCAGGAGCCGCCATTGGAGCTGGTGCAGTGCGTACATCATTACGCACGTATACCCCTAATGCCCGATAAATGTCAGTGAATGAAACAAAAAATAGTGAAGCTGAAACAGACCATTGGAAGTCGGAGCCGCGGCCGCAACTGCCTCAGCCGCGCTAGCCTGTGCTTGGCAACGTTCGATCTGACATGCTGTGTTAGCAACGGTCACATATGATAACAGACGCCTACCATACCCATTTCTGCTCACCATAGGCCTTCAATTTTTCGTCATCTGCGCCTACATCCCAGTCTATAACCATCTCCATGTGCGCTTCGGCAACCTGGTAATGGCTGCGAGTAACAAGGACATGGACATCTACAGAAGATGACGAAGTGATCGTAAGGCGCATCTCCCTCTTGGCGTTACGGTTGTGCACAAATGCCGAGCGTATGCATTGAGGTGTACCCGATGGTATAGCGGCACCACTTTTGAATTGAAGCTGAAGGATGTCATTAAGGCGGAGGTCGGCGCCAAAGAATTTCTCGATGAATAAAGGCCGCAGACCGGCCCAAGCGACGAACTTGAGACTATCAGAGTCGATGTTGACCTTGACGCCGCTGAAGGTCTGAGCTGGACCGAGAGCCTGCGAGCGAGATAAGCGAGATGAACAAAGTACGCGCCCGATGATGAAGAGTCTCGCACCTTCGCTTTGCCATTTGCATCATAGCTGAAAAGCTTGAACTTGACGGTAACAGCATCTGCAGTAGCAGATGCCTGTCTGAAGTACAAGCGAGATAGCTCGTCATAGAGTCCATGAGCAGCCGTGTACCCATAGGTGATAGATGCCTTTTCGGTGATGGTGCGCGGAACAAATGGGTCGGTTTGAGCCCGTATAGCAGCCGCGTGGTTTGCGTAGGGATTGGCATATGCAGGCGGCACCCCTACATCAAGGCCCATGACAGTTGAGACAGGCGGCGGAGGACCCATGGCACCAGGAAGCGGAGGTGCAGGGATGTGATAAGGTGCATAACCGGCGGCGCCAGCGCCGGCAGGTTGCAGGCCTTGGTTGCTATAGACCTGATGCAAAGCAGCGACACCCGCACCCAGCGCGCTTACTCTCGGAGCTTCGGGCCCTAGATGGATGAAAGAACGCATGAGAACGGTGTCTAGAAGATGGAACAGTCGTGAAAGCGCACCTCCTGCCCGCCCGCCAGCAACTAGATGCCGCACGGCGCTCATATCGACGGGGTACCCGCCTTGCCAGTTGATCTGCGCACCCGGCAGGGCTGTGGGATACAGCTGAGCGGGGCCTCCGGGTGTAACTGGCACTGCTCGTATACATGATTTAGACTATTTGATAAGCAGCCCTTGGCGGCTTGGCTTACCTTGATGCTCACGACCTGTCGGGACTGGCGCAGATCCAGGAGCCTGTGTGGGAGCTTGCATTGGAGCGCGAACTGTAGAAGATTGATTAGTTCATAAGAGCAAACAGAACGATTTGAGGTAGCTCACTCATTGATCGCATGGCACTATCACGGCCTTGCGCCTGATACGACTGCTCGCACGGTAGACATAGCCACCCGCCAGCTTTTGACGGATCGCTGTTGGCCCACCAGTTCACCTGAGCACGCAAGAACGGGTTTTTACACCTGCGGCACTTGTGTTGCCCGTCCGGGTTCTCGGATGTAAAGTCCATCCGAGTACAAGAGACAGGCGGGGTGTGGTGGAGAGGCGCTGGTTGTGGTGGTGAAAAACAAAGAAATGGTTGTTACAACCGGGCCGGTGCTCACCGCGCGTCGTCGGCTTGCCGAGTCCCACCAATGAGCAATGCGAAGCCGACTGTCATGCGCTTATATGTGTCTATATGGCTAGACATACGCGATTCCACGAGGCATGTAGCCGGATGATGATGCGGACTTGAGTGAAAGTTACCATCTACATCGTAAACCCAGACATCGTTGACGAACCGTGGCAAGATGGCGGCCACAGTACACATGGGAAGGGGAGCACCACAGCAGAAATCACCCCCGCAGGTCATCAGGCTCTGACAATTGACACCCGGTCAGTTTGCCAGCGGTTACCTAGGCAGAGAGGTGACGCAGAGCCGGCGCAAGCTGCGAGTCAGGCCTGAGATGATGTGTATTGGCTCGGGCGCGACGCGTACGAGCTTGTAGTACCTGCGAGCAGTGGTACATTCCCACTCGCGTGATGTGCTACATCGCAGGTACATGACGGTTCAGACACAAGAGCAGAGCTCAACTCGCGCTCGGCGACGCGGGGCCTATATATGACAAGGAAATCTGATGAGAACAAACACCTCCCATGCTAGCATCAAACTCTGTCTGCGCGTGTGCGCACCATCTGCTATATGCAGAGAAGGAGGCTGTCTGGGATTGAGATGGATAGACATAGTACACTACTGTACAGAGGAAGACCGGTTCGTGTACCTCGCAGAAGCAGAAGGAGAGGTGTAGCACTCAACCGTGCTTGAGTGCGGGAAGCGGGAAGCGCGATGAAGTGGTCCAAGTGAGAGAGCCAGAAGCTAGCGTACTGAAGGAAATAGGTATACATATAAAACGAGTAGAAATAGCACGCCATACATACAGAAACTATGAAACGTATACTCGCTAACGCTCCTGTCTAAATACAGTAATCGGTAGAGACCAGGCCCGGCAGCAAAGATGGCGCTAGGCGCGACCTGCACAGCGAATGTGCGGTCGGATCGCCTCAATATCGTACACCCGTATGCCCACGCAGGTGCCCGATAAGCCTACGGTATCCCGCTCACCGTACGTGAGGTGGGTGACAAGTACGGGGCCGAACGGTGAGGAGAGCGCGACGCGGCCACGCTCGGCAAGTGCCGGCGACGCGTCCTGACGCGCAACGCGTCTACGCGTCCAGCGTCGAAAAGCACGCTACAGAGGTGAATACAGAGAAGGTAGATTGGTAGATCGATGCCGTGTTAGGCCCATAGATGGCCAGACAAGTTGGAGGTCAGTACTTGCGCCCGAGGTGAGGGTGAGTAGAGTAAGCGGCATACAGTACATGTCGGAGTCCGGTAACAAAGAGATGAGAACCATACACAAGAATCTAGAGTAGTAGGCATAGTGGCCCGGACACGATTCGTATAGTAAAGGCCGATGGCGGGTCAACAGGACGCGGCCACACGCTTATGGGTGCGTGTGGACAAATAGTTTTGCATGGATATCTGGCGGATCATTGAATGTCGGAAAAGGTCAAAACTAAAATGCCAAACCCGAAACTAGGGGCTCACCTTTTTTGCGATCGCTGACGGCATTTGTTTGAAGCTTGTCTTTCCCGGACACCATACAGTACACTGCCTTCAAAGCCGCCGGCCGCATCTGGGAATGGAACATCATGCCCATGGGCAGCCGCAACTCCCCATCCATCCAGTAACACTGCCTCACGGCCGTGCTTGGCTCTCACGTTGGCAAGGTCTGCCATGTCTACCTTGACAATATTGTCATCTGGTCCCGCTCTCTCTCCGTGCACTGGCACAATGTCACCACCGTTCTCAATGCTCTGGCTACCAATGGCCTCTACTGCTCCTTGAAGAAGTCTATCCTATTTGCTGACTCTGTCACCTTCCTTGGCCACCGGATCTCTTGCAACGGGATCAAGGCCGACGGCTCTAAATGCGACCCATCAAGGACTGGCCGGTACCGAAGAACGCAAAGGATGTTCGCTCCTTCCTTGGTCTGGTTTGCTACCTCACCAAGTTCCTACCCAACCTGGCAGAACATACCCGCATCCTCACTCCGCTCACTGTTACGGACACCCGATTATCCATTATCTTTTCCCTTTTCTTTTTCTTTTTCCAGACTCTCACGTGACTCAGTAATCCCCGTGACTCACGCTCGACTCATCTCGTTCTCGTGCCTTGTTTACGGTTGTTTGCCTCGTCATATCTATATAAGACTCCGACCCTGCTTGTAACTTACTCTTAACCTTGATCTAGTCAATACACTGGCTACCTAGCCGCTTGCCTTGGTCTCTACGCTCGCCCCTGTCTGTGTTAGTAAGCGGCCGCCTAGCCGTTGCTGACACTCACCATTAAGACCGCTGAGTGCTGCTGGCCCGGCTAGGGTTCTCACCACCAACTCGCCTTCAACACCATCAAGGCACTGGTTGCCGGCCGCAACTGCCTCACCTCTATCAACCACCGCAACCGCAACCCCGGCAACAACAAGATCTTCCTGACCACCGATGCTTCCGACTGGTGCTAGACTGCCCACCCAGTTGCATTTGACTCTATTCAGCTAAAGGGCGCGCAGCTTAATTACGTGGTGCACGAGAAGGAGCTTCTGGCAATTATACTGGCACTTAAGAAGTGGCGCCACGAGCTCATCAGCCACCACTTTAAGATCCGTACTGACCACCAGACCCTCGAGAACTTCAAGATGCAACCTCACCTCTCACGCCGGCAGCTCCACTGGCAAGAACAACTCGCCGACTATAATTTTGACCTCGTCTACATCTCAGGTGAATCTAACACTGTCGCCGACGCTCCTTCACGGCTTCCTGCCAACCAGTCTATTGATGCACCGGCACCCCACGTCGCTTCTATTGCGCTAGCTCTCTATGACGACAAGCCACCGGACCTACAACCTCAACTTGACATCCTATCTGCTGCCACTCTCACACTATCCACTTCACCCGCCTTCACCCCGGAGATCATCGCCAACTACAACAACAATGCCTGGACGATGAAAGTCCTCGACAACTTGTCCAGTGTCCCTCACGCACACCTGTGCTGCGGCTTGCTCTACATCGACTGCCGTCTTGCTATTCTCCGTGTTGGCACGC